TACTGATTTTAATGCTCAGATTGCTTTAGCGGGCCATTATTATCAGCAGAAAGCTCAGGCCTAAATCTTTTCAGACCAGCATAAACACAACCTGAAAGATCCCAAAACATAGCTTAAAATACCCTTGCAATACTAAGCCCACAGCCTTTAACAGAAATTAAAACGCGCTTTAACACGCTTCGAAGGAAAGTGCCTAGTACGACGGTTACAGGAGATAAAATCCGGGCATGAACTGCTGCTATCTCAGAGAGGCTAAAGCAGAGGAGGCAAATGCCTATTTTCTCTTAGTAAGGCCATCTGCAGTTTCAGAATTTGTATGCCTGTTAGAGATCCCCTTTCCACCCTGGTAGGAAGAGCTGCATATCTGCACCCGACACCTAGATCATCAATATCCTTTTAAAATTTGCAATTATCCACAGCGGGGAGTGTACCTAATGCTCACACATAGGTAGCGGTGGGTGCGCAGAGCCTGCAGCGCCCAATAAGGTCCTTTGGAAATTCTCAAACACATGATAAACGATTCTTCCAGTCTCCTCCGAGACCCCGCCTTCTGCACCATATTCTCCACCGTGTCTGCGGGGAAGGTGTTTGCATTTCTGGGAACCCACAATTTCATTCTAATCTGTGAGGGAGAACACTGGGGAACGAGCTCTGGGATTTGCTTGCCCGTTATTCCTGCCCCCATCGCTCCAGCCTCCCTTGTCTGTGCTCACCAAAGCGGTCAGATATATGAACGATGGGGAAGAGACAGGGCGCTCGGTTCCTTTCCCGCTTCCCACCTTCCATCCAGGCATTCTCCACCGGGAATCATCACCGGGGCCCATCTCTCCTCTTTCCCGTCCCCGGGGCCCTGCAGCAAGCAGCGTACTTACCGGGCTCATGGATGCCGGGGTTGTCGGACAGTTCGATGACCAGGAGCTCCCGGCCCTCGAAGCTGCGCCCCACCGTGTAGATCCTGCTGATGGCGGTGCATTGCAGCCACACGGACACCAGCGCCTCACGCAGCTCGGGGTAGCGGTGGTACTCGAAGGAGATGCCGTCCTCCTGCTGCAGCCGCCGGCGCCGCCTCATGCCAGCCGCGGGCGCCCCGGGCTCCTGGGCTTCGGCCGCCAGCAGCCACCCGCCGGCCACCAGGGCAGCGCACAGCGCCAGCAGCACCCGTCCTCCGCACCGGGCCATCGCGTCCCCGCAAGCTGCACCGCAGGCCTCTTTTGTCTGCCCGGGCCCGGGTGGAGCTGGCGAGCTCAGCACCAGCCTCCTCTCGCCTCACCTTCCAGGGCTCAATAAGCGGTGGTGCGCGCTGGGGCCACCCAGAGGACAGCGGTGACGCGGCGGCTCTGTGCGCTGCACTACCCGCCCCGGGGAGCAGGAGCCAGGAGGCCCAGCACTGGGCTGGCAGCCACCAGAGATTCTGGCGTTATTCCTTGGCTCAGACCCACGTCAAAAGCCAAAAGGCGCCAGGGACCACGCAGGTGGAATGGCAGCTAAAACCTTGGCTCAGGAAGGCTGCTGTCAATGAGAGAGAACCATGACCCAGGACCATGCTTGTAGAAAACACATTCTTGGGTTGTTAGTATAGCCTTTTAAGTAGCATCTCTAGGATTTCTACCTGGACACATCAGAATGCCGTGTGGGGTTGAGATGCAACCAGCTGCTGCCTTCTCTCCCCGGTCATCATTGCTTCAATAGTGCATGTTTAAGGGTTGTGATTTCACCACAGCAGGGTCTGGCTAGAAATCAGAACACTGCATTTTGACTTAAAGATGCTTTCTACCAATTTACAGATATTGTCTTTAATTGCATTTAGACATATTCCTGTGTCCTTCTAGGAAAAAAACAACAACGACAACAAAGAACGAGGCAGAACAATGTCTTTTGCAAGCAGGGCCTATACCAGTCATCTTCTGGGACACCCTGAAAAATACAAAATAAGACTCTGCTCGTGAATTAGACAAAGGATTTGGTTTGGCATAATGATTAAATCCTGCAATGCAGAAATACAGACAAATGGCATCCTTTCACAAAGTGGTTGTGCAAACATAAAAATAGGGCTTAAGTGACCACCCTCGGGCAGGACTTGGGTTTTTGCAACATCTGCAGCAGATGTTGTTCTGCAAAGGTTGCCATTTGGATTTAACAACAGCATGGATCTGAATAAATAATCCATTGGGCATGGCCACCAAAAAGAAAGACTGCACACCAGCTGGGTAATGTTTCGTGTTGGATATTTTTTCTCTTTCTCCATCGTCTAATAATACACTGTCCTGAATAAAACCTGTCACCTGGAAAAGAATCCAGATCTATAAATAGCTCCATTAGATATTTTTTTAGTGGAGCATGAAACACTGACTGGATGTCCCTTCTCTTCCAAACCCCAGGGTTCAAGCAGCTAGAGGACAAAGGGAACTCAGTGGCTTGGAAAATGACACCAATAAGACAGGCAGATTGTGTGGCCTCTGTGGTTCTAAGAAAGCCCACGGCCTTCAAAAATAGACCTGTGGCAGATGTGGCTGCCCTGCCCACACCCATCCCACCCTCCACCCCTGAGAAATCATAACCGGAGTGCCAGAGCTACGGCACCAAATATTAGTGGCACTGGCAAATAAGGCACCTAAAAGTTGTCTGTCACCCATTCAGGGAGCAACCGTAAACCAAAGAAGGCAGTCACTGTAGGCATCAGCTCATCTTGAGAATTTCAACAGTCGGTCATCAAACCAATATTACTGTTTCAGGGGCTGGAGATACAGGCTTCAGAGTAAAGAGCATACAATGCTCTCGCAGAGGACCCCAAGTTCAATTCCCCAAACCCGCAACCAGGGAAATCACAACTGTCTGCATCTCCAACTCCAGGGAATCGGATGCCAGTCCCGGCTTCCTTGAGTGTGAGTAAATAGAGGTGTGCACACATATAACTAAAATACAACAGGAAGCAAAAGTCAAGTCACGATAGTGCACACCCATCGAGATAGTTCACACCCATCGCCCCAGAATTCAAGAGCCGGAAGCGGGAGGACAGAGAGCTCAGGGCTAGCCTGAGCTAAATAGTGAGACTCTGGCTCAAGCAAGTAATTAAAAGTAATAAATAAAGACTGGCTTGTTTGCCAAGATACTAGCAGAGAGGCTAGCTTCAAATCTCTGTGTCAAGTCTTCCACAGTAGCACAGTTGGTTTGTTTTTTTTTTTTTCCTTCTCCTCAGACTGGGTCTTATGTAGCCCAGGCTGACCTCAGACTCAGTATATATCATCAGAGACTAGCCTTGAACTCCTGATCTCTTGTCTCCAAGCTCCCCAGTGCTAGCATGGAGTCCAGCTAGGTGCCTCTTTAGTGGTAGTTTGGGGAGGAAACGACCATCCAAAGTCCCTCCTTCAAGTTGAAAGAGCTTTAGGAAAAACAGCAACCACAAAAAGCCCCCATGCTTCCCACTATGGCCAGCCTGTGTCTGATTACTTAGTTCAGAAGTTTGAAACCAGAGTTATAATTACATTTCTAAAAACCATTCACCAAAAGGCAACCTTGGAAAACCAGAGAAAAGAAAACAGAGGGCTAAAACCAATGACTTCAAAATTGTAGAGTTAAGGTTTGCATGTTAGTAATTTACAGCAACCTCACTAATTTGCGGCTGGGTGGGGACGTATTGACGAGTAACTACACACAAACAAGACCCTCTCATTGAAGTCCTGTCTTGTTCCTTGGCTGACTTTGGTTTGGTTTTGGTTTTTTTATTGTCATCTTTATGGGTCATGAGGTATTGTTTGTTTTCTTTTCACTTTAAAGGGGGAAAATGTGGGATTATACTAGCTATATGACATTACCTGAAGAATCCTCATACATCTCAGATGCCTGTGGCCCTAATACGTGAAAAAAAAAGTTGACTAGATTATCCATTCTCTCATGTTTGAATATAAGAAAACCACCTATGTAATTTATAGATGTATGTATGTGCTCATGGTGGAGCAATGGCCCAGTAATAAGAGCACTGGCTACTCTTCCAGAGGGTCCAGGTTCTATTCCCAGCATCCACACAATAGCTCACAACTGTCTATAACTATAGTTCAAGGGGATTGATCCAATGCCCTCTCCTAATCTCTGCTAGTAGCAAGCAGGCACAGAGTATACAGACACACATGTAGGCAAAACATATATACAATTAAAACAACAACAACAATAATAATAATGTGAAAGATATTGTTTTAAATTCTCAGATATTTGTGTGTGTATAAGTGTATATACATGTGTATATATATGTGTGTGTGTGTGTGTGTGTGTGTGTGTGTGCGCGCGCGTGTGTGTGTGTTTTCAAGCCTTCATGGCTCAGGCATTAATAATATTCATCCTTGGATTAAGGTCCGTGCTTAGCGGTGCATCCTGTTCCTCCAAGGGACCTGAGTTTGATTCCCAGGACCCAAGTCAGGTGTTATATGATCACTTACCACTATAGCTCCAGGGGGTGTGACACCCTCTGCTGACTTCCTTGGGCACTTGCATACACATGACAGACACACGCATAAAAAATACAAAGACCAGGAGCTGGAGAGATTCCTCAGTGATTAACAGCACAGACTGCTTTTCCAGAGGACCTGGGTTGAATTCCCAGCACCCACATGGCAGCTCACAACTGTCTGTAACTCCAGTTCCAAAGAATCTGACCCCCTCACACCAATGCACATAAATTAAATTCTAAAAAATATATTAAAATCTTTTTAAGACATTTTTTAATGTTCTTGATTTTAAGCAGAAAATGAACCAAGCATGGTGGCAAACGCCTGTAATACCAGCAGTTGGGAGTGAAACAGGAGAGTCAAGAGCGTTAACCTAGTGTCCACTACGAGTTCGAAAGCAACCTGAGTTTATGTGAGACCCTGTCAAAAACAACCAAAAGGGTGGGAGGGGTTTCTGATTTTACTATTTGATTGACAAATGTGTTGTATTAGTTAATTTTCTGTTACTGTGATAAAATAGCATGTCCAGAAGAGGCTTATAGAAACAAGTTTATTCCGGCTTACGCTTCATGAGGGAGAGGCCACTGCAGGTATTTGGTGACTAGGGTGACAGGAGCAGTGAGCTGAGAGATCTTATCTCCATCCACTGCAGGAGCAGAGAGGAAACTGGAAGTAGGCAAAGCTAAGAACTTTCAAAGCCTGTCCCCCGCCCAGGGATACGCTTCCTCTGGTAAAGGTTCTACCTCTAAGAGGTTTCACAAGCTTCCCAATCAGAGCCATGCAGACCATATTTGAAATATGTGTACAAATACGAAAAAGACATTGAGAGAGATAGAGCTGACTTTTTTTAATGTCACTTTCGGACATGCGTAACATGTATTTAAACTCTTACATCTCCTACTCCAGCTTCACTTCTACCCTCAAGGTCAGGAGCTCCTTCTCTGTAGGTAACTTTTATCCCTGTCTTCCAGAGCGCTGTCTACAATCTATCTACCCCGCAGACATTCTGCAGTCATGGAGCTCTTCATCTGTGCAAACGTGTGTTGGAAAATGGTTAATAGCTCTCTGGTGGGAAATGGATTGATTTCAGAGTTTTTGCCGAGTTACGTGATGTAAATATTCCCACCATGGCAAAGTCTCAAATGACCAACACGAAATCATCAAAAAGGCTGTGGAGAAATGTGCGATAGCATACTACATAATGCAATGGTAGGCACAGAGTCTGTGTTCTCCATCATTCAAGGAGATGAAGTTTAATTTCTTTCCATCAGGATGTATGCAGAATTTAGTATCTCACACAGACACGATAAAGCAGAAATGGTGGGAATTCGGGCTTAGGGTTTAGCTCACTGGTAAATCACCTGTCTAGCATGCATAAAGTCATGAGTTGGCTCTCCAGAACTGCAAAAATAAAGCCAAAAGAAAAATTGGGATGTCTGCCAAAGATGTTACAAAAAGGGAGGGAGGGAGAAATGGAGGGCGGAAAAGAAGATAATTCAGTGGGAAAATGCAATTGCCTGATGACCTGTATTTGACCCCCAAGACTAGCAAGAAGCACAGAGAGAACCCAACTCTTGCAAGTTGTCCTTTGACCTCCACACGTGTTATTCTGTGTGTGTGCATCTCTCTCTGTCTCTCTTATGTATCTTATTCTCTCTTATTCTAGGGGAGCTGGCAGCAGGGTTATCACCATAAAAAATTCCTGAGATTAACAATTTGAAAGAAAAAACCATATACATTTGACTCACCATTTCAGGGATGCAGTACTAGGTCATCTGTGTCCATTGCTTTGGGCTGTGACAAGGCAGCAACGCGATGGTGGGACCGTGTGATGAGGGAAGCTGCTCATCTAAGGGGACCGAGAAGCAGAAAGGGAGAAGGAATGGACCAAGGACTCACACCCTTCTTCCAACTGGAGTCCCTTTCTACATCCCACTCAGCTATTAAATTATCGGTGGGTTAGCATATCCATGAGATGAGTGCTCTTATAATTCAGCCCTCCCAAGACCCCACCTATGAACCCCGGATAGAGATGAGTGCTCTTATAATTCAACCCTCCCAAGACCCCACCTATGAACCCCGGATACACCAAAGGTCAAGCCTTCAACACAAGTCTTTGTAGTAAACCATGAGGCCTCTGAGGACACCCTGAAAGGACCTGACATCTTCAGTCAGTGAAGAACCGAGGACAGCCAACACTTAATCATGTAACTGGGCTTTGATGTGACTTTCTCAGGCCGTGTCCAAGGACTCCATCTACGGCTTCTGTATTTGTGTTGTCAGTCAGAAGGTAGAATGAGACATCCTGTTTCTCATTTTCCCACAGAAACATGGACTTAAGCACATTACAAGTCTAGAATTGAGTTAAGAGCTCGTTAAGAGGTTGAAGTATCCAGGCAAGCATAAAGTCAAGTTTAGCCACATGGAAACAGGCAAGAACAAGCTCCTACCTATTTCAACCCCTACTCCAAAACCCACACAGTTCACAGTCCAGAGAGATCAGAACTTTTCCCTGGGATAGGGAGGGCATGAAACATTCAGGGGCAGGGAGGCAGCTTCTGTCTTACCTCACACAAAATGGTGAAAGAAAAGGTACAGGAAAGGGTGTACCTACAAAAGGTGAAAGAAAGTTGTCCAGGAAAACTAGAGGAAGTGAGTGTAGGCGTTCCTTTGCTTCTGACTGCCAGGGTACCTTTCCCTTCAGAGCTGTAACGCTTACAGTGAGCACCTTCCTGTGTCTTGAAGGTCTCTGTAATGCAGAGACTCCAGCCTTCTGTAGTTCAGAGAGACTGGGAGTGAGATGCAGGGTCAGCGAGAAAAAAAAATATGTAGACTTCTGTTTCTGAGGGATTAAAGTTTTTCTTCCATTTTATTATTCTTTCTTTTGCCTAGTCTACTCTGTTCTTTTTCTGTTCTGTTGTTCAACCCTGGCGTTTCCCTTCTGTCTCTTTCCTGATAACTTCCTTCTACTTCCTGATACTTTCCTTCTGCCGTCCTTGTTTTCCCCCTTACAGTTTACACACTCCAGCAGAATCTTTCAAGCAATATAAAAATTACAATGTAGTTACAGTCTACTTTTAAGTGAATGATTGCGTTAAATGCAAGTTAAAAAACAATACGTTTTCCATATCCCTTACATGATTAAACATTTTATGTATTACAGATGAAAAACAAATTATGCCCGAGAACCCATGTACAGATAGACATTTATTCTTTAGACTTCTCATGGGTCAGGAGCTTTTCAGACATGGCTATTTATACCAACAGCAGTTTTTATAATGTCCAGAGAAAAGCTTGCTAGTTTCACTTCTCATATTTTAGAGGCCTGTCCAATCATCTTAACTAACCATCCAATTCTTTGTTTTCTAGTTACATGGAGTCCATTGTTTAAAGCTGTGTTCAAAGCTATAATGCATACTGACACCCATGAACACATTTCCTAATGTCATAAAGAACTGAAGGGTTAGACCTCCTGTTCCTACAAAAGGAGGCCTCTGTGCTGCCCCTAAGGAAGAATGCTGTTTCTATGTTAGCAAAACGGGAAGAGTTAACGACAGTATGAAGAAGGTCAGAGAGGGATTAGAAAAAAGAAAGAGAGAGAGAACAACAGGAGAGTTGGTATAAAAATTGGTTTTCTACTTTTCCCTGGCTATCCACCTTATTGCCTAGTCTTTTAGGCCACTTTTGGGGTTTTATATTGCTTATTTCTTTTGGTCCATGGGCCTTTAGGAATCTGACAGACTTTATTAAACAACAAATAGATAATCTCACCGCAAGGTCTACTCAGGTCCATTATCAGAGACTGGCCATGAAGGAGAGTGGTCCTTATCAGAAGGTTGATAAAGGGGATGGCAACGAAGAATGCGATCTGTACCTAATGTTCCCTGTCTCCACATAGCAAAGAGGAGACAATCATCCCCTGAGACACATAATCCACTCATGGCCCTTGCACAGCCCCAGCCAGCGACCCTGACAGGTCCCTCTACCAATGAAATAAATGACCACTCCCATTGATGGTTTGCCAATGATGGGCACCTTTCTGATGCTTCATCCCCTAAGACAGGAGCTTTGAAGGCTGGCAAAGACATCCAAAGATGGGTAAGGGTGTTCATGCCTCAGATGATCCTAAGACAGGTTCCATCATCCTTGTGGTTCTCCGGGTAACTAACATTTTGGCTATGTCTCTTTGTTTAACCAAAAAGGGGCAAATGTCAGAGACCTCCACCATCATCTAGCCCTAGCTATATCATGTCTTCTCCATGTGGAGGACGTGACCCCAGTCCACCGTGAAGAAATACCGCCTCTTAAGATATGAAGCAAGTTTCGAGAAACAGACTCGCGGCTTATCCATCAGTTAAAGATTAAGCCTAGTGAAAATTACCAAGTCACTCGGGCAATAGACTTGAACAATAGATGGTAGATGGTAATAGAATTGGAACCTGTGGTTAGGTTACCAGGCAACACAGGTTGGTCTACCCCTCCCACTGACCTTTCTGCCCTGCCAGCTTCCTGGAGTCTGCAGTCAACAACCCCATTCCCTCCCCTCCTCACTTTCCGCCTATGACCCTATTTAAACCCCTTTGGAAAAAAATAAAGATTTGCCGGCTTGTTCATAATACTGTCTTACCGGTCTGTTCTTTGTGCCTCTTGTCCCCCATTTTCTACTAGGTGTCCCCAGTCCTACATTGACTAACCCACTGAACGGGCAATGAAGGGACTGGTCCTATGGAATGATACTCACAAGGTCTCCAAGACTCAGGCAGTCACAGGGTACCTACCCCAGGGGAGTCTGGTGAGGACCCAGTGAGGGTGGTGCACCAAAAACCAGAGGTCTTGAACCAGATCAGTGACTTGTTACAATGAACAGTTGCCAGTAAAGCTGATGGGACAAAGGGGTATACTATATGATGCCCCGAAGTCTCCAATGCTACCAGGATGGATGAAGAAGTAATAAAGAGGCACGAGAGAAGAAGATTTTTTTTTCTGTTCCTGGGGGAGTTTTCATTCTTGCTTTTGTTTGCTTGCTTGTTTATCTTGTTTTGTTTTCTTTCGTGGGGGGGGGCAGCAGGAATCAGGGGGTTACATGGGAGGACTAGGAGGTGAACAGAATTGGGGTGCATGATGTGAAACCCCCAAAGATCGAATAAAGAAGTTAAAATATTATTTTATCTATAAGAATAAAGACCCCACTGTAGGGAAAAGGGACCAGTCAAAGAAACACACCCTGAGCAGAGCCAAAGAAACACACTTTGGCCCTGCAACCAGAACCAAAGAAATGTACCCTGACCCTAAAACCAGTGCCAAAGGAACACACTTTGTCCCTGGAATCAGAGTCAGTGAAAGAAATGTACCCTGGCCCTAAAATTGGAGCCAAAAGGCTAAAAAGGACCAGAGAAAGAAACACACTTTGGCCCTGAAACCAGAGCCAAATCTGACCCTAATCCTGTGTAAAAAAGTAACCAATCCCGGAGCAGAGCTCTAGCCAATCTGAGCTCAGCACTGAAATCGGACCAATCCCTACTCTGGAAAAACTTCCCCAACCCCAGGAATCCCTATATAAACCCTATGTATGCTCAGCTTGGCTGGTCCAGCTGTCTTCCAATAAACACCTTTGGATGAGCTTCGGGTGAAGATCTTCTTTTGCGGCTGCGACAGAGCAAAGGCGACCCTGGGCAGAGCAGAGCAGAGCGAGCAGAGGCGACCCTGGGCAGAGCAGAGCAGAGCAGAGCGAGCAGCGCTGTAACACTTGCCCGGGAAACCTTCCTTGGCAGAGCGGAGTTGTTACACTCTGCTCCCGCCCGGCTCCCTGCTCTCCGCTCTCGGCTCTCCAGGAGCAGAGCTGAACTGTAGCAACTTCGCCTGAGAAACCTCCTGCGGAGCAAAACTGCTACACTAGGCGAACATCCCCAGCTGGAAGACCCTGTCCTGCCGGAGCGGAGCTGACACACCGGAGAAGCCTTTCTCTGAGGCAAGGCTGTAAGCTGCCAAGCTTACTGCAACCCGTGGTGGTCCTTGGCTCCCGAGCTCCAGGATACCTTTCCACCTGAGCTGTGTAACACTGGGTATTCTGTGACTCCCGAGTGCCAGAATACCTGACCCACTAACTCCTGTTCCATCCTGTCCTGACCCATCCCGACGAAACGCTTACACCCACAAAAGCAAACTCCTGTTCTCCAGTAACACACACACCATACACCACACACACACACACACACACACACACAGGGGGGGTCAAGGGAGATACAGAGAGAGAGAGAGAGAGAGAGAGAGAGAGAGAGAGAGAGAGAGAGAGAGAGAGAGAGGACACCCAACAATAAGAGAATACACATATGTTCATGTGAATATGGAGCCTTTTCAAGGACTGACTGTGTGTTAGCTCACTAAAGCAGTCTTGTAAATTTAGGAAGATTAAAATCATGCCATGTAACTTTCCTGACTGAAGGGAAAAAGGACCAGCCAAAGAAACACACCCTGAGCAGAGCCAAAGAAACACACTTTGGCCCTGCAACCAGAACCAAAGAAATGTACCCTGACCCTGAAACCAGTGCTAAAGGAACACACTTTGTCCCTGAAACCAGAGCCAGTGAAAGAAATACAACCTGGCCCTAAAACTAGAGCCAAAAGGCTAAAAGGACCAGAGAAAGAAACACACTTTGGCCCTGAAACCAGAGCCAAATCTGACCCTAACTCTGTGCAGAAAACTAAATCCTTGAGCAGAGCTCTAGCCAATCTGAGCTCAGAACTAAAAACTGACCAATCCCCACCCTGGAAGCCCTATATAAATCCTGTGCTTGTTTAGTCTGTAGCTGTTAGCACTACCTGGCTGTCCTCTGCCACTCTGGCAAAGAGCAGCCACTCTCCTGGATTATTCCCTCCCAATAAACCCCTTAGATGACCTTCCGGTGAAGATCTTCAGATCTTCTTTTGCTGCAGAGCAGAGACCACCCTGGGCAGAGCAGAGCGAGCTGGGCTGTAACACTTTTGCCCTGGAAACCTTCCCTTTTGCAGAGCGGAGTTGTTACACTCTGCTCTCCACTCTCCTGAACTGTAGCAACTTCTCCTGCTGGAGCAAAACTGCTACACTGGGCAAACATCCCCAACTGGAAGACCCTCTCCTGCAGACACCTGTGGAAGCCTTTCCTGAGGCAGGGCTGTAAATCTGCTAAACTTACTGCAGCCTGTGGTAGTCCTTGGCTCCCGAGCTCCAGGATACCTTTCCATCGGAGCTGTGTAACACTCAGTATTCTGTGACTCCCGAGTGCCAGAATACCTGTCCCACCCGACTCGTCCGAAATGTCTACACTAACCACAATGGAATGAAACTAAAAATAGATGGAAGGAAACCTGGAAATCTCACAAACGTGTAAAAGCTACACAACACGAATAAACAATGGACAACAAAGACAATCCCATTGCCTTATTGACATGGTCTGGGGATGAAACCCAGGACTTCATATACATACAAGTATTCTCCTATCTGAGGTACGTGCCCAGAAAAAAATGACAAAACTCAGCATTATTTTTATGATAAAAATAAAACTTTTGTCAAACTAAATAGAGGAAAAACATCACCAGAGTACAATAAAGTAATGCTCTATATGAAAAGTTCAAAGCTTATATTATATTCAACAGGAAAAAAAGAAAGTCTTTCTCTAAGATCTGAAAAAAGACTAGAATGCCACACTCGTAACTTTCACTTGATGCGGTGCTGGGGCTGAAAGTCAGAGCACTTAGCTGGTGGCTCACAATCATCAGTGATGAGATCTGGTGCCTTCTTCTGGCCTGAAGGCATACATGCATGCAGAATACTATGTAATAAATGAATCTTTAAAAATTAATTTAAAAAAACAGAGCACCTTAACATGAAGAGAATGAAGCCAAACACCATCTGCAGAGAAAAAAGGAAGTGAATTAGCTCTTTTGTGCAGAACACGTTACTTTATACATAAGAAATTTAAAAGACAGAAAAAAATGTGTTAGTATAGTAAATGAATTTAGTCAAGCTACAGGAAACAAAACCAACCTACAGAAATCAGCTGTGTTTCTGAATATAAAAGCTACCAAAAGAAATGTGTGGAATATAATCCCACTTATAATAGCTCCATATGGAATAAAATACTCAGGAGTAAGTTTAATCACAGAAATAAAAGGTTCAAGCACTGAAAATCAGAAGTCAGTGATGAAAGAAACCAAAGAAGGCATAAATAAAATAGGCCTTGCATGCTGGTTCTTTATAAAACAATATGGCTTAAATGGCCATACTACCTGAAGCAATCTACAGATTAAATTCAACAGCTATCATACTCTCAATGGCATCTTATTGAAATAGAAACAAATTCTAGCATTCACAAGGAACCACAAGAGACCCGTAGAGACAAAGCAAGCCTTTTGTGTAGGGAAAAGGGACCAGTCAAAGGAACACTCCCAGAGCACAGCCAAAGAAACACACTTTGGCCCTGCAACCAGAACTAAAGAAATGCATTCTGACCCTGAAACCAGTGCCAAAAGAACACACTTTGTCCCTGGAATCAGAGCCAGTGAAAGAAATGCACCTTTGCCCTAAAATTGGAGCCAAAAGGCTAAAAAGGATCAGAGAAAGAAACACACTTTGGCCTGAAAACCAGAGCCAAATCTGACCCTAATCCTGTGCAGAAAACTAACCAATCCTTGAGCAGAGCTCCAGCCAATCTGAGCTCAGCACTAAAAAGTGACCAATCCCCACCCTGGAAGCCCTATATAAACACTGTGTCTGTTCAGCTAGTGGCTGTTTATGCTACCGGCTGTCTGGCAGAGGGCAGTCACTTTCCTGGATTCTTCCCTCCCAATAACCCCCTTGGATGACCTTTGAGTGAATATCTTCTTTTGCTGTGGCAGCGGAGCAGAGGCAACCCTGGGCAGAGCAGAGCGAGCAGGGCTGTAACACTTTTGCCTGGGAAACCTTCCCTTGGCAGAGCTCTGCTCTCAGGGAGCAGAGCTGAACTATAGCAACTTTGCCCTAGAAACCTCCTGCTGAGCAAAACTGCTACACTAGCCGAACATCCCCAGCTGGTAGACCCAGCCGGAGCGGAGCTGATACACTGGGGAAGCCTTTCCCTGAGGCAAGGCTGTAAGCTGCTAAACTTACTACAACCTGTGGTAGTCCTTGGCTCCCGAGCTCCAGGATGCCTTTCCATTGAGCTGTGTGACATTCAGTATTCTGTGGCTCCTGAGCTCCAGGATACCTTTACATCTGAGCTGTGTAACACTCAGTATACTGTGACTCCCGAGGAGCTCCAGGATACCTTTCCACCTGAGCTGTGTAACAGTATTCTGTGACTCCTGAGTGCCAGAATACCTATCCCATCCGGATCCGACCAAAATGCCAACATTTTGAGCAAGAATTTGTTCTAAAAGCATCCGTTCTCAGCTTCATTGTGCATTA